TGTTGAAAAATCTACCAACCTCATTTAGCACACTGCTACAACCCACATGACCTTAGGATGTGCCTTTGCCAGAACCGTCAACAGAGGGACAAAATACACTTCATTTTGCACTATCTTCTGTTTTAAAAAGAAGGATTAATGAATATAAATTTGCTCCAATTTTATATCTCAACAGCTTGCAGAGCACAGACTTTAGAAATTCTATGTTTAAATAATTGAGCCATTGATTATTTCAGGAGCATAAATTAAACCTTCCAGGTTAATTGTATTTAAAACTGAAAATTATAATGCACTGGAGATTTCCAGATAACTTTTCCTTTTCTTGCTTCAAATTACCTCCTCTGATAAACCTTTCTCTTTGCAGAGAAGTATTTGTTAAGTGACTAGACGTTGGCTTTCTTTAATGGGTTGTCTCCCATCCAGCCTTAGTAATTCAAGAAGAAAGTAAAAATTCCTATAAGAAATAAGACTGTTGGAATTCCTCGGTGGTGTTCTGTTCTTTAAGTGAGTTGGGGCAGAATCTTATAGACAAAATGGTTTTGGGGCAAGTCTTTGTGTTCTCAAAGACAGCAGGTCCTTGTCTATACTTTCACTTTTCAGAACACTTAAAAATTTCAGAAGCACAGATGATTGATTGGCGAAAGAGTAGGCATGAAGCAACCTGGGGCTTTTTAGTAGTCTCTAGGAACGTGTGCCTATTAACATCCCTACCTACATTGCAGAAGCATAAATGTTCTCAGACCATAACAAAGCTGCCTCTGAAACTGACAGACAATATGCAAAACACATACTGTCCTTTCCAACCTTTCTTGTTTGTGAGATACCTATTTTGAGTGGAAATTATGAGCTAATCACAGAAGATGTGGGAATGATGCTCACAGCATACTGGCAGTAGAAATCTATTTATCTGGCAAATGAGTTGTGAACACAAATTCATGACAAGAAATCTGGCAGAAAAAGCTCATAAGCCCCAAGCTGGCTGTCATGTTGAGAATGGCAAAGCTAAGGCAAAGAGAGGCTTTGCAACTTGTGTGATGTGCCCAAGCTGCAGCTAGAAGGTAGTCATAAACCATAGTCTTGAAGTTCAAAGACATCAGTCATGATAGAAAAAAAGACTGAGTCTCTGGAGTAAAAGCCAGAGGACTTTCTGAAAATTCACACTTTTCTCGAAAAAAACCCAACTCTGGATTTTCAGTCAGATTCGTGTTCTCCAACAATGAAATTGAATAACAAAATCTGCTTTCCCAAAGAAAAAGAAAATCATCAAAAAGATGAAAACTGAGCTTACCTGATTCATTGATTCATTTGTCAAAATACACCTTTACACACTAAACTTATAGGAGGCGATTCTGAACCTTCCTTTTTTTCTAAGTAAGAGAGTTCATTAGTCTCTACTACATTTCTAGAACAAAATATCCGTGCTTAGAAGAGAGAGAGAAAGAGAAAAGATTTATTCATCTCACAGTTTTAAAATCCAAAAGTCTAAACAGCATGGCTCTACTTCTCTCACATGGCTCCACCTCTATCACATGATTCCACCTCTATCACATGATTCCACCTCTATCACATGATTCCACCTCTATCACATGACTCCATTTCTATCAAGACTCCATCTGGTTGTGTCTGCCTTGTTAGGGAGAATGGAATCATGATAAGAATACACATGAGGGAATCATCACATTTGAAGAAATAAAAAAAAATCATGAGAGGGCTGAAAACTCCATTTATCCTTTCATTGTCTCCACATTCAAAGACCTAACCACCTCCCATGAGGCTCCTCCCTTAACTTCTCCACATTGCACATTAGTGATCAAGCTCCCAGTGGCATTTGGTAACACTTTAACCACATCCAAAATGAAGCAGAGAAGATTCATGAATGTCAAGACAACTGAGCAGGATTCTAACTGTGAGAGATCAAAGTAGGCCATCAAGAGGAAGGAAGGGTGGAGGAAATACAAGGAGTATAGAAAGCATCTAAGGATATGGCCATCAGTGCACTCAGAGACAAAAAGAGACAGAATTATGTGTTACAGTAAGGAGAGGGGGGAGAAGAAAGAAGAAAGAAAGAAAGAAAGAAAGAAAGAAAGAAAGAAAGAAAGAAAGAAAGAAAGAGGGAGGAAGGAAGGCAGGCAGAGGAGGGAGAGGGGGAGGGGGAGGGGGAGGGGGAGGGGGAGAGGGAGAAGGAGAAGGAGAAGGAGAAGGAGAAGGAGAAGGAGAAGGAGAAGGAGAAGGAGAAGAAGAAGAAGAAGAGAACTTGAACCAAAATAAACATCCATAAAAGCAAAACATTACTTTTAAAACTACAGGAAACATAATAAATTACACAGTAGAGCGGTTACAAGCTAAAGTTGACCTTTGAAGTAAAACAAACAAACAAAAAAATCTTGGGATGATTGAGTAAATGAAATTCCCATAGATAAGAATATACATATATTTAAACACATGTGTACACACATACAAACATACACACTAATGGCAAGGGAGAAGAAATGACAGAAGGAATTCAAGATCAGAAGTTTATCTCAGAACAGGCTCTGGAAGGAAAACCATGTTGTAAAGTGGAGCAGCTATTAATTTATGGAGTTTTAAAAATTGAAGACAATGAGCCTTTAGAATTGATGAATCCTAAGAGACTGTCAGTTCTCTGAGAGTCTAGCAACATTAGAAAATGTTTGGCTACTGGTAGAAAATGCTAAGGATTTTTAAAAAGATAGAACAGAAAAAAAAATATCACAAAAAGGAAGGTAAGGTAATTAGAATTTATGAAATTTTCCTGGGGCAGATTCTAGAGGACAATGAGCAAGGCCCCAAGAGAAACTGTTTGCTTCATAATTCCATATGCAGCTGTGAGGGTGTAGGTGAGTGTTTCTCAAAGACTATCTTCTCAGAGACATGGTACTTGGGGTGACACTACTGGAAAGTTCTGAAACCACAAAAGGCTGGAGCACAATAAGCTTACTAGGATTGGGTGAACTTAGCCCCCAGCCTCCCACTGTCTTTCTCTTCACTTTGCTTTCAGTCTTCCATAAAGTGAACAACTTCCTCCACTACATTTTTCCATCATAATATACTGCTGCACTAGTAGCTCAAAGGCAGCAAGAAGAAGTGTCCATGGACAGAGACCCCTGAAACCCTGAGCCGAAGTAAAATTTTCTGTCTTATACGGTGTATCGTCTGTGCTGTTCACTGTGTAACAGAAACAACACAATACCCTAACTACAAATCAAAGAAGAGCATAAGATAAAATCATTTTCAGTCACAGGCTTTCTTTTGAATTCCTCCATAAGAAGCCACCTGGGAATGGGGTCCTGAGCCTGAGAACCTGAAATCCAGGACTAAATGGAAAGAGCTCTAGATTGAGAATGCCTGTGTTAGGCCTGATAATGTTTCAGAGATTTCCATGGAAATGGAACAAAACTGATACATACATTTACTGTGCTTACAAATGAACACTCATACAAATTGCATGAAAATTTCAAGGAACAGTGAGCAGGGAAACGAAGTACAGCAGAACATGGAAGAATGAAACCAGTAGAACTTTCTTAAAATGGGTTGTAAGAGAAATCTATGTTTGTCACACTCTGCTTGGCCCAACAGGGTACAGTGCAATGGCAATATAAGTACTGGTAACAATTTTAACTACCAATGGTGATTATGAATTGATTATGCATGTGAAAGTCACCTGTAGACAAGATTGAAAAAATTAATTAAAAAATGGTAATGAGAAATAAGCTTACAACAACATTCAGCAATGTAGCTGAAAGTTGAAAATGGTATGGGTGCAATGCCAGAATTAGTGAGTGGAAGAAAAGCCTTCATCATTCCATACTGACCACCCAGCATATATACATGCATTGAAAAACCTAGGTCATAAAAAGATAGGTTCTTCCCCATGGTATCACAGTTATCCTGTGAATGTTGACATTAACTGTTAGGAGTTGTGTTTCCCTTCACTATATTGTTAGGGAGTTAGCTATGTTAATAGCATGCCAATTATACCTCAGCCACTTTAGTGAGCATCCTTGTTAGATTATTTGTGCATGCACTACTGTGCTATATTTCCAGGGAACATTGAGGGAAACAATACTGCCCAGTCAGGTTCTTCATATTGGTAAAGATGAACCACATCTAAAGACACTGACAAATATTGATGCTACAAATTATGATGTGCCTAAATAACAACAATCTTCTGGAATTTTTTTCACTTAGTTTGTTGCATGAGCTAATGCTTTCTGGAGAAAACCATTAGCCACAGTGGGAATAGAGGTTTTGCTGACATTGTTACTGAATTTAATGGGGAGGTTTTTTTTTTTTTTTTTGGTCTATCTTCTATGTGTATGGGGTTGCATTTGGTTTTCTTTGTCTTAGTCTATGAAGCATTTTAATTGAGAATACATGTTAAGTTGCTCTTAAAAATTTTCTATGAAACAAATGTTCTCCTTGTAAAATATACATATTTTTACTGTCCAAGTACATAGCATGTTGATTTTAGATTACTGCTCATAACTGGGGATGCATACTAGCGTAAGTTCATAAATTTTTAAAACATGTGAGTGTGTGTGTGTGTGTGTGTTTATACATGGGTGTCTGTGGCAGGGAATATTCATGGAGTGCAGTTGTCTGCAAAGGCCAAAAAAGAGTGATGGGTTCTCTGGAGCTGGAGATGCAGGTGGTGGTGAGGTGCCTTATGTGGGAGTCTCAAATGAAACTCAGGTTCCTTTGAAGAGCACTATGTGCTCTTAACTGCTGAGCTATCTTTCCAGCTCCAAATTTAGGAAGTTTTAAACAAAAATCTGGATGGAGAGAGTGTCAACTGTTCTACACAAAGACTCCCTACAGGCTTTCAATTTTTCTTATTTGTTGAAATACAAGAGACCATTCGCATGATTAGTTCAAGGGTTCTCATAAATAAACAAGACACTTTCACTTAAGCTGTAGAGAATCATTTAGCTTAGAGCCATGAGCTGTGTTTGAGACTGGACTCCTTTCAAACCTTTGAGGTACATATGCTTTTGTTTCCTTCTCAGGGGCACAGCGATTGCGGGCATCATGTTTGGAATCGTGTTCATCATGGGGGTCATTGCGGGAATCGCCATATGCATCTGCATGTGCATGAAAAACAACCGGGGGACCCGCGTGGGAGTCATCAGAACAGCACACATCAATGCCATCTCCTATCCCAGTAAGCAACACAGCTCACTCTTGAAGGAAGAAACAGATTTATTACTGAGGCTCTGGTTCTTCAAAGACATTAAAAGACTCTCGTTGAAATAATTCCTACTTTTCTAGAGTATTCTCAAAAAATGTTAGATTGAAGCTTTAGCTATGAAGAGAGATCTTAGTAAAAGAAGAAACAATTCATATTACATTTGAGTATAGTGCTACTCTCAATAGCTACAACCGCCAGTCAGCCAGAATGAAGATAAATAGAAAATTCACACCCATTCTGTCTACCTACCAATGAGTTCTGACAAGTAATTATGGAGAAAGTGTGCAATCTGTCTTAATAAACCTGCCTCTGTGGCAGTAGGTATGTATGTCTCTAGGGAAAGTATAGAAAAACCTTCTTATAGTCCTCATTAAGCAAAAAGTATAGCTCCCTCATAATATTAACATCTTCAGCAGAGAGCAGAAGTGACATTAATAATTTGACAGATACATGTTGAAAATTTGCTAGAACTTCTACATATAAAAATATTGAGTGCATGAGATTCTATAAACAAGGCCTTTCACTTTGTATTAGAGAGTCCAATAGTGTTTCTATATCACTTGGTATATGTACCACACAACATCTGAAAGATGAGCAGTTTCATGAACTCACACCAACTGCAGTTTGAACTCTGTATAATATCAAGCCAGTCAAAATTTTGACATAGAGAGCTAGATGATCTCCTGGCTCCTCCCTTTACCAAGGAGAAATTGAGAGTTGATTGACAGGAGTATCATTCTTCTTTGAGGGTGTGACTATTTGCCATTTTCCCCTAAGCCATATCTATATGGGTAGTACTAGCAAGAGTTAAGTAAACTATCAGAAAAAAAAATAAAAAGAATTGAACTGTGAAGGCACATGTTGGGAAGATATCTTGGAGTTGGAGGAAAAGAGGCTAGACATGATTATTTTTCATTGTATACCTATATGAAATTTTCAAAAGTAATGAAAAATTCAAAAAGTGCCCAACAATAAAGATATGGATAGCAATTTCTAAATTTGATTATTTGTAGGGTATTGTTTTCATGTCTCTACCCATATTCATTCTCTCAGTCTCATAACAAATGAAACAATATAATGTACCTTCTAAGTGCATCCACTGCCAGTCCATCCTTGTTTAATCTTCCCTGCTTCAACTTGAGGAAAGGCATTTCAGATGAGTGTAGGAGTAATATCTCCATTTGTTCTTTCTTCTTCTCCCGAATCCACTCACACTTGTGTCTTCTTCCACATATTTACCTTTCTGTGGTTCTGTCATTTAACCCACAAAGTAGAAAGAAAAAGAGAGGAGGGGGAGAGAGAAAGAGAGAGACAGAGAGAGAAAAAGACAAGAAAAAAGGGGGAGAAGGAGAGAAGGGAGAGGGAGGGGGCAAGGCACAGGAAGAAGGAAAGGGAGAGAGATCATCCACTGATGCTTTCTAGAGTTACATATCTCGGTTCCCAAACTGCTTTTATGATTTTAAGATATATTTTATCTCATTACTCATTGAACATCTCCACCAGCATATCTAATCAGTATGCAGAAATGAACACACTTAAAACTACATTTCTCAACTACTCTCCACTCACTGCCTATATTCTCATCTTTGCTCTGCTCTTCAGTCGCCTTCATCATTCCAGAGGCTGAAGCCTTTCTAGTCTTCTAGCTCTCAGGTCAACCCTGGAGTCACCCTTAATTCTTTTCTGGCACTGGAGTCTACATGATTATCTACAAGGAAAAGTTCTCAGCAACACCTTTAACATATAGTGTGCATCTGACTACTTCTCTTGATGATAGACTCTGTTACTTCCTGGGTGGAAGTCTGTAATAGTTTGAATGAGAATAGTTCCCATAGGTTCATATACTTGAATTCTGGGTCCTCAGCTGGTAGATCTATTTGGGAAGTGTTACCAGATGTGGCCCTGATAGAGGAAATGTGTGTGACCTTTGAGTTTTCAAAGCCCCAGACATTCGCAGTTCTCTCTCTCTCTCCCTCTCCCTCTCCCTCTCCCTCTCCCTCTCCCTCTCCCTCTCCCTC